GTTGAGTTTGCCGACCCCTGGCCCAGGCCTAGCCCAGAGCAGCCGGGGCAGGCAGGCTTCCTTGGGGTGGGGCCTGGGGCTGCAGGACACAAAGGACACACCTGCGGCCCCGAGCAGCAGCGGCATGTGCAGGGCCAGCCTCGCTCACGCGGGGACGGCGCTGCAGAAATGCCTTCTGCACACAGGGTGGGACTGGCAGCGTCGAGAGCCAGGCTCCAGGGGAAGGCGGTTAAACACCTTCCGCAGGCTCCGCGGGCTCCGGGCACAGGACCGCGCCACGTGACGGCTAAAGTTAGCTCCCGCCGGAGGGAGCTGGCCGGGCCGCGGGTCCCCACCGCGTGCGGCCTGGCCTGTGGCGCTGGCTCTGGTCCCGCGGCCGGCGGGCAGTCCGCCGGAGAGAGGACAGGCCTGCTGCACGTGGCAGAAGGGCAGTGGGAGAGGGTCCAGCTGGGGTGGTGCTCTTTCCTGCGTGTGACTCCCGGAGAGGCCCGGGAGGCCCCCGCTTGGCCACGGGAGGACGGCAGGCTGGGCTGGGTCACAGAGGGGAGGACGGAGCGTGGGGTGAGCCTCAGGGAGAGGCTGCTTCTGTGCAGGGTCCCCTTGGCCGCTCCATCCTCCGTGCTGGCCTGCCCAGGTGTTCTCACCCCCTTCCCACGACCACCCGGAGGGAACCCCACCGCAGCCCAAGTTCAACACGGAGACTCGCCCACTTGCCCGAGGTGGGGCAGTTATTGCCGTCCCAGTCAGCGGTGGTTTTTATGATTTTTATTATTAAAATTTTTAAAATTGATTTTAGAGAGGAAGGGAGGAGAGATAGAAACCTGTGATGAGAAAGAATTGGTCAGCTGCCTCCTGCACGCCCCACACTGGGGATCCAGCCCACAGCCCAGACCTGTGCCCTGACCGGGAATCGAACCGTGACCTCCTGGTTCATAGTCGATGCTCAGCCACGGAGCCACGCTGGGCAGGTGAAGATTCTTATCGTCAGTTTTTGTTTTTAGCTATTAAGTGGCTATTATTAATTTTAAGAAAGCAGGTAGCGGGGTCTCTCTGAATGCCCAGTGATCCCGGGCTTGGGGGTGAGCTCAGAAGGCCCGCCGCGCCCCCCGCCTGGCTGTGGAGCGGCCCCCTCACCCACCCTGGGCTCAGGTCTCTAATGAGACCTCCTACTGGCCGGTGGCCCTCGGCAGCCCCTGGGAGCCGTCAGCTGCAGATGCTCCGCCGGCCGCCCGCTGATCCTGGCAGAGCTGGCTCTGGGACGTGACGAGCTATTTATGGAGCAGGCACGGTCAGACCCACTCAGCAACCTGAGACCCGCTAATCACTTCTCCCCTAACGAGGCCAGGCCACGCACGCGTGGGCACGGGGGCGCCGGCCTGGCCCCGGAGGAGGGCACGGTCTGGCTAACGGTGGGAGGTGGGGTGAGGATGCCGGGAGGCGCTCGGGGCTCTCGGTGTGGAGGGGGGTCCATGTTCAGAGGGGCTCTGGCTGCAGGCGGAGGGGAGCCCACGGGAGGCAGGGCCCAGCCAGGAGCCGAGGCCACAGGAGTGCACGCGTGGGCTTGTGTGTGAGGCCCGAGGGGAGCGGAGCCCAGCTCTCCTGCCTCCCGGTGCCTGCTCGCCGGGCTGGGCAGGTGGCTCCCCAGGAGTGGGCCCAGGAGCTGGTGCCGAGGCCACAAAGTCATGTGACCATAGGGTCTGCACCACGTCTGCAAAGCCTGGGCCGTGCCCAAGGAGCCAGGCGTCCTGGGACCAGTGGCAGGGGGCATCCTGGGCTCTGATTGGCCACGCTGAGCTCAGAATCCCCTTCCAGGCCGGGCTGGAGTTGGGGTTTCCAGAACTTCTGCGGCAAAGGGAAGGTGCAGGTGTCTCCCCCCATTGCCCCTCCCTGTCCCAACCTCCTCTCCCCCCAGTCCAGCCTGACTTTTCTGGACTGTCAGCCACCGCAGGCCAGCTGAGACCGCTTGGGGAAGGGCTCTTGGGAGGGGTCAGGAGCCCACGTTCTACCTGTAGGTCAAGGCCATGGGAGGAGGAGTGTGGGGTGTGGAGAGGGGATGGGGCAGATGGCAGGCCAGGGCACCCTCAGATTCTGCCCTGGGGCCGGGCTCCAGCCTTGTGTCTCTGGAGGGGGGGAAGGGAGACCAGCTTTGGGGCGGTCTTGGGCTCAGACGGCAGGGCTTTGGAGGAGCGCTGGGCGGATGGCCTGTCCCTGGGCGCAGGTCCGCGGGCCGAAGTGCTCCCATCGGTAAAAGGGCTGGGACTAGCTTATCTCCCGGCCCTTCCAGGACGGCACGAGGCGACTCTTTCCCCGAAAGGCAGTCTGCGGACCCAGTGAACGGCTTTCCCCCACCTGCTCCCGCACCTGCCCGCCGGCCCTGGACGCCCCCGGCCAGGCCGCTCCCGGACCGTGGTCGGAGTCCAGTGCCCCCTGGCGGCGCCCCGGCGCCCGCGCTCCGGGACGGGGGGGGGGGGGGGGGGGGCCGACGGCGATGAGTCAGGGCGCTCCGCGGGGCTCGAGCCCGGCTGGGGTTCCGCGGGCGGGGCCGAGGTTCCGCTGGCGGCGGCTGGGGTTCCGTGGGCCCGGCTGGGGTTCCGCGGGCGGGGCCGGGGTTCCGCGGGCGGCGACGGGGTTTCCGTGGGCCCGGCTGGGGTTCCGCGGGCCGGGCCGGGGTTCCGCGGGCCCAGCTGGGGTTCCGCGGGCCGGGCCGGGGTTCCGCGGGCCGGGCCGCCGCGCAGCGCGGCGCCAGCTGCCGGGAGTCCTGGTCGCCGCCCGCGGTGACTCACCGGCGGCCGCCCCCGGCCGAGCGCAGGGCCCGGCTTCCAAAATGAGTCCTAGGGGGCGCCCCAGGCAGCCCGGCCCCCGCGGCCCGCACAGCCGGCTCCTCCCGGCGGCGGGGCGCACGCACCGCGAGCCCCTGAGACGCGCGGGCGGCGGGAGCCTCCGGAGCCCGGGTCCCCGCGGGGGCGCGAGGTGCTGTGACCCCGGCGGCCTCCCGCCCCGTCCGCCGCTGCCCCGCCGAGCCCGCCGCCGGGCGCCCTCTCCCCAGGCCGCCGCCCTCCGTGGCCGGTCCCGGCCTGGCCCAGAGGCGGGGGCCGGTGAGCGGACCCTCCCGACGCCGAGGGAGCGGAGGGAGGAGGGCAGAGGAGGCCGACACGGAGGGGAGGGAGCCCGGCGGGGCTTCGGCTCCGGACACGGGAGTCGGTGCGCCCGGCCCGGGCGGCGGGAGGGGGCCTGCGGCTCGGGGAGCCGGGAGCGTTTCTGGGAGAAGCCACGGGGAGGGAAGAGGGCGCGGCCGGGCCCCCAGGATGGCAACCCCTGCCGACCTGGCGCTCCTGGGTAACGGCTCAGGTCGGCAGGTCCCGGGCCGCGTCTGGGGCGCTGGGGGGCCGAGGCGACCCCGGAACCCGCACGCCGGGAGGCGGCGCAGGTGGCCGGCCCCGGGGACCGCGCTGCGCTCCCGGTGCCCGCCCGGCCGGGGCCTCCCCTCCCTCCAGCCGCAGGGTGTGGCCTGGGGCTGAGCCCCCTCCTCCCCGCCCGGCCCCCAAACTCTCCGCCCGCGCGGCCGCGCGCCCGCAGGGAGCCCAGGGCTCGGCAGCCGCCCTGCCTGCCCAGCCTCCGCGCCGAGACCTGCTGCTGGCTCCGCCTCCCTCCCTCCTCCCCCTCCTCCTCCCGGACACCTAGGCCCCCGCCCGCCCGCCCGCCCCGCGCGGCTCCGTCTGCAGCGGGAGCGGCCGCCTGGCCAGCTGGCCGGGGACCAGGGGGTGGCGCGCCCCGGAGGCCGCGGGGGGCGGGCGGAGGGGAGGAGGCCGGGCCTCCGCGTAGCCCGGCCCCCGCCCCCCGCGGCCTCCCGCCCGAGCGGGGCTGCCACGCGCGCGCGCGCACACACACACACGCACACACACACACACGCACACAGACACGCACACACTCGGCTCCCTCCGGCGCTCACGCACGCAGCGCCCCGGGCAGATCCGCGCCGCCGCCGCCTCCCAGACCCCGGACGCCGGAGGGCCCGGACCCCGGCGCGGCTGATGCGCCCGCGCCCGCCCCGCGGCCCCGCGAGGCCCGCGGGGCCCCTCCCGCCGCCGCCGCCGCCGCGCCCGCCGCCCTCGGAGACGCGGGCCGGACGCCCGCCGCCGCCGCGCCGCCTCCCGGCCGCCCCCGAGGCCGCCGCGCCGCGGGCTGAGCCGCCCGGAGGCCGCGCCCCGCTCCCGCGCCCCGGGGGCTGAGCGCCGCGAACTTGGACCGGCCGCCGCCCGCCGCGCCGCGCCCGCCCCTGCGCGCCCCGGGCCCCCGCCGCTCTGACCCGCGGGCCCCCGGCCGCCCCGCCCGCCGCTGCACCTGCCCGGCCCCTCCCCGCCCGCGGGGCCTCCGGAGACGCCGGCGCTTCGCAAACTTTCCCGCACCCCACGGGGGGCCGAGGAGCCGAACCCAGAGAAGCAGGTCCCGCCGGGCGCGCGCGAACCCGCGGGCTCCTAGCGGGGCGCCGCCGCCCGGCAGCCGGGCCCCGAGGGGCGCGGGCCCCGGAGGCCGCCCGCCGGCCGCGCCCCCGCCCCCGCCCCTGCTCCCCCGGCGGGCGCGGGGCGCGGGGGCCGGCGGGCCGCGCGGTGCCCGGGGCGCCGCGGTGCATGGCCCTGCGCGGCGGGGCGGGCTGCCTGGGCCGGCTCTGGCGCGGGGTGTCGGGGCTCCCGGGCGCCTGGCCGCGGCGCTCCAGCAGCCTCCTGTGCCTGGCCGCCTTCGCGCCCGCGCCCGCGCCCCTGCCCCGCCGGCCGCCCCGCGGCGGTGGCCCCGGCGGCCCCGGCGGAGGGGGGCGCCCCGGGCCTCCCCGCCCCCCGCCTCCCCGCCGCCGCCGCCGCCGCTGCTGCCGCCGCCGCCGCCGCTTACAACTTGGACTCGGAGGCGGCGGCGGCGGAGGCGGCGGCCGGGCGCTGCAGAGGGACGCGCGCGGCGGCGGCGAGGCTGCGGGACATGCCCCCCGCGCCGGCGCCCTGCTGGCGGCCATGAAGAGGCAGAACGTGCGGACCCTGGCCCTCATCGCCTGCACCTTCACCTACCTGCTGGTGGGCGCCGCCGTCTTCGACGCGCTGGAGTCGGACCACGAGATGCGCGAGGAGGAGAAACTCCGGGCGGAGGAGGCGCGCCTGCGGGGCAAGTACAACATGAGCGGCGAGGACTACCGGCAGCTGGAGCAGGTCATCCTGCAGGCCGAGCCGCACCGCGCCGGCGTGCAGTGGCGCTTCGCCGGCTCCTTCTACTTTGCCATCACGGTCATCACCACCATCGGTAAGGCCGGCGCCCGGCGCCCCACACCCAGCCCGCGCCGCCCGGAGGGGCCGGGAGCAGCCGGGGAGGAGCCGGGAGCGCGGCGGCGCGGGGCTGGGTGTGCAGAGCCCCGGGCCGGCTCCTCCCGCCTCCCTCCGAGCCTCCTCCTCTCGGCGCCCGGTTCCCGGAGGACCCGGCTGGGCTCTCCCCGCGCAGGTGCCCGGCCCCAAGCCTGTGAGCCCAGAGCGTTCGGGCTCCGGGGGGCGGAGGCGCCGCGCCGGGAGGCGAGTGGAGGCTAAGAATAACCCGCAGACACCCACCGCCCCGGCCTCACACTTACTGCCTCTCCGAGTTGGGAGGGCGGCCTGGCTGCCATCCGCGTGCGGAGAGACTCAGGTGGCCGCGGGCTCCCCGGGCGTGGGAGGCGCTGACCCCGCCAGCCAGCCTCCTTCCTGCGGGCGCCCCTTCTCGGAGTCCCGAAGCGGGTGTGCCAGGCCTGGGGGGAGAGAGTTTGTGTCCGGTGATTGGCGAGGGGCCGGCAGCCGGTGACCGGTGCTGGGAACAAGGAGGAGCCCGGGGAGACGGTCCTGGCCAGTCCAGCCCAGGGCCGCGGGCAGGACCAGCCTGCGTCTTGTCTGCAAACCAGAGAAGTTGGCCCCAGCCTGGGGGAGCCCTCTGTAGGCCCCGGGGGCTCCCCTGGCCCCCACCAGGTGAAGTGCTCCCCGCATTCTCTGGCGGGTGCAGGCAGCACGCAGCGGCCGGGCTTGGTGCACTTGCAGGCATTCCACTTGGAGGGGATCTTTGGAGCTCAGGCGGGTCCCTTCCTCCCAGGTTGGTGGGTGCCCGCCCGGCGGGAGGAGGTGCCCCAGACTGCACCCTGCCCTCCGCACACACCCTCTCCTCGTCCTGCCAGGGCCCGTGCTGGCCTGGGGTCTCTTTCCCGGCCCCTCCAGCCCTGTCCGCCCCGCACCGGGGAGGAGGCCCACCCCCCTCTGCTGTCCCCTCGGCGTTTGCCGTCTGGGGAGCGCTGCGTGCTGGCGGGGCTGCTCGCCGTGCCATATGCAACAGGAAGTCCCGGCTCGGCCTGCCTTCCCGGCTCGGCTGCAAACACTTTTCAGAGTCATCTTGTCAGAAATGTTTAATTCATGGCTGCAGCATCTCATGGCGTTGGAAGGAAGCTGTCCTTCTGTCATCTCCACTTCCAGCTCTGCTCCGCGTCCGCCCGCCACCCCTCGGGCAGGAGCCAGAGCCCAGGAGAGCCGTGTGCTCCGGTGCCGGACGGGCCAGCCGGTCGCTGCCATGACGATCCTTTCTGTCTGTAAACTTCCACTGTGAGCTGCCGCCGGAACACACAGCGCAGGCAGGGCCCTGGGGGTCAGGGCCTGTAGCTGGAGGCAGAGGGCAGGACGGGCGCCCCTAACTGACCTCCGGGGCAGGGAGGCCCCCTCTCCCGGTCTTTAGTGCTCCCCACCCAGGACAGGGCCGTCTGGCCACTCGCTGGACACGCCACTCGGGAGAGGGTTGGAGTTGAAATCGAACCTGGAGATGTTGGTTTCCCTGAGAAAAGGAAACTGTTAGATCCGTGTTGCTCGGGGCGTGTTTATTGATCCTGACGGGTCGTTCTGGGCCTGTGCTTCCCACGGTGACGGCTGGGGAGAGAAACCTCCGGGAGAGGGTGGCCCAGGGCGGTGTTGTCGCGGCCCGGGCTGTGGGTGCGCCCCAGGGCACCTGGCACAGCGCGGATCCCCTCTCGGCCGTTGCTGAGCGGCCAGCTGCTTTCCCGGGGAGGAAGGTCGGGGTAACCCACCAGGCCTGGAGGGAAAGACCGTCCTCGCCCAGCTGCCCTGGGCTGGGGAGACGCTGAGCTTGGAGCCCGAGTCCAGCCACTCGGGGCACTTCCCAGCTCCCAGCCTCAGTTTCCCCACCCGTAGGAGGGAGGGGCATTGCACAGTGGCCACCTGCCAGGCCGACTCTGAACGGCCGGGGGAGCCCTGGTGCCTGCAGCCACCAGCGAGGGGAGCGCCTAGTAGGTGGGCACCGGCTCTGCCCGGGCCTGCTGTCCTGCGCTCTGCCCCAGGAAGCTGGTGAGTGGAGCCCCTGAACTTACAGGAAACAGAGCACCTTTCTAGTTAATTCTGTTTGTTTTCTTCTTTTTTTTTAATATAAATGCAAATGAAGGTGTTCCAGGCCCAGAACAAAACCCAGCCCCATGCCGGCTCCCAGGCCTGTCTCCTGTCCAACAGGGGCCTGTGATCAGGTTCCTCCGGCCGGGGCGAGGGGCGTGAGCTCCCGCTCTCGGCTCTCACCGAGGTGGGCAGGGCCCGGGCACTCCTCCGCTAAGGAGCCGCCTCGCAGAGGCCGCTAACGGCTTGCTCTGGGAAATGGATCTGAAACACGTTGATAATGACCACTTCGCGTCAGGTCTGCGGCCGCTTGGAGAAAGGCTTTGGAGGGACAGACGCTGAGTCTCGAGGGAGCCCTGGGCACGGCCTAAGGAGGACGCTCAGGGGCCCAGGGCCCCAAGGTGGCTTCTGCTCTGCCACAAGCCCAGCCCCGCTGCTGCCTGCCTCGGCTGCTTCGATGTCGGTGCCACTGGTGTCCACGTCCCCGAGGTCCTGTTGTGATTCTGTTCGTGGGGAGCCTAGACCTGGGGGACGCTCCACCGAGTTACCGATGGAAAGCCTGCGTGCTTGTCTGATCGGCAGGACGGTTCGGAAGCTCTCCTCACCCCCAGGCTGTTGGTGGAGGTGGAGGTGATGGTGATGGAGGTGGTGATGATGCTGGTTGGTGATAGTGATGGAAGTGGTGATGATGGTGATGGTGGTGGTGGTGGAGGAGAAGGTGGAGGTAGAGGTGATGGAGGTGGTGGTGATGGAGGCAGAGGTGGTGATGGTGATGGTGGAGGTAGAGGTGAGGGAGGTGGTGGACGTGCCGGGCTTGAATCCCTCTCTCTGGGGCTGCGGTCTGGGTGCACTGGGGACCCTGGCACACTTGTCATTTCCCTGCAGGAGGTGCTTAGGCCAAAATGGGGTTCCACCACCAGCGGCCACTCCTGACAGCAGACGGGGTCTCCACCCTGTCTAGCAGGGGCCGAAGCGGTGACCCCTCAGGCTCACAGGAGAAGAAACCCGCTTAGAACTCAGGTCTGGCCTGGCGAGCCAGGAGGGCGAGTTACAACCCGCCCTGGGAGGGCAGGGGGGTGAGTCCCAGGTCCGTTGGGCCCAGCTGGCCGGGGCGGGGGGGGGAGGGGCACTGCTGCAGGAGCCGCGGGGATCGCCGGGGCAGGCCTGGCCGGGGTGGGCACCTCTGAGACCAGGCCGAGGGCCCCGTTGTCTCCAGACCCAGTGCTGCCCCTGCTGAACCCGGGCTTCCCAGACGCCTCCCTCATCTGGTTCGCACGCAGCCCTGACGGCGCTGGGTGAGGCTCTCCCCGCGTCCCGGCCTCAGTGCGGCTCTCCCAGCACGTGTGCGCCTCCCTGGCCGCGGCCTGGCCTGCGCTTTGCTCTGGGGACCGTCTAGATGACAAGATAAGGCCTGGCCTTCGGGAGGGAAGTGGAAACCCAAGCGCTGGCTGGTGCTGTCGAGCACGAGGAGCAGATCAGCTGAGCCGTCAACCCCTCCCTGCGGCCTGCGGGGTGGACTTGCCTCCAGTCTCCCTGGCTCCCCCCTGGGCCTGGCCCCCCATTCCCAGCGTTGTGGAGACCAGACCGGGTCCCTTCTCGCGGCATCTGCCGGGTGCACACCCCACACCCTGGCACTCGCGCTGCCCCACTTTACAGCTGGTGAGACTGAGGTGCCAAACAGGCAGCGGGCCTTGAACGCCATTTTAATCTCACAGCTCACACCCACCTTCCCCATCGCAGGCACCCACCACCGCTCACCCCTCCCTCTGCCGAGCACCCCTGGGCCCTGCGTTCCCAGGCTCATTCATCCCCCATTCAACAGCTTCCGCTCCTTCCCACGCTCCTGCCGGGAGGGGCGCAGGCGCAGGTGCAGGCACAGGTGCTGAGGGGAGTACAGGTGTAGACACAGGGGCCTGGAGGGGCGCAGGTTCTGGGATAGGGGTGCAGGCGGCACCCTGGGACCTGTCCGCTGAGGCCTCACCAGGCCAGGGGCACAGGCGGAGGCCCCGGGCGGGGGAATTCTGGAGTGGGAGTGCGGTGGGTCTCCCCTCTGCACAGTGACCGCCTCCGGGCCTGCCGGGGCCGGGCCTGTGTCACTCCCTTAGGCTGTGGGGCCGCCGTCTGCTCTCCCATAGGGACGTCTGTGGGGACGTTCCCGTTCGGCCGGCGCCCACGCTGCGCTTTTAGTCCCGGGACCATGGGCGGCGTGGAGGTTGGAGATGGCCCAGGCCCTGCGTTCCTTCCCATCGTCCTCTGCTCCGTGAGCCTGGTGCCTCGCCCTAGGGTGCTGGTCTGTGGGTGTGCCCCCTGACGGCCCTGCAGGAGGAGCCCACCCGGGCTCTGTCTGTCCCCCTGTGAGGGCTGGCGCCCCCCTCTGGGCAGCCCCCTCGCTGCGTCCCGAGTGCTGAGTGCACTGGCTCCCAGCAGGGCCTGGGCACAAAACAGAAGCAGGTGTGGGGGCGCAGGGAGAGGGCTGGTGGCTGATGGGAAAGTGAAGCCGGGAGGAGCACACGCAGGGCGCTGTGAGCACAGGGGCTGGCGGGGGGCTTGGTGAGCAGACCTGGGCCCCCAGGGGACGCGGGATTCCCAGGCTGAGCACAGCCTGCTCCATCCGGGGTCCTCGGTCCTGGCCTGCCAGGCCCCTTGGTGCCTGGGCAGCTGCTGGGGAGGTGATGCTGGCCAGTTGGCTCAGGTGGATTGGGGCTCGGGGCTCAGGTGGGGCAGGTTAAGCTTGCTCATGTCGGCAGGTCAAGCTCAGTGAGCTGGGGAGAACTGGGGGTGACACGTGGCTCCCCAAAAGCAGAGGCTCAGGAAGATGGTGCTGAGGGCACAGAGCCTGGGGTGCGCGGTGCCCACTCGGCTGCGGGCCTCTCGGGGCAGGAAGCTCTGCCCACAGCT